GTAGTCGGGAGCTGGTGTGGCTGTGACAACCCAGAGCAGAAACCCAGGCAGCAATAAGGAAGCCATAGCCACATGTTCCTGTGTTAAGTCACTGTTCTCATGCAGTCATTTCTATAACTGGGCTGAGAACTTCTGGCTTTGAACCTTTTTCCTGCGGTGTATCCCAAAGGAAGATAATTATCCTCCTCTCAGCCGTTGCTGTCTCTGGCCCCTGGTTATTTGCTGTAGAACCCCGACACAGGGAAAAGGCAGGCTTCTCAGGCTGATGCTGCGTGTCTTCTCCAGGCCCTTTTCAATTCTTCTGATTCCAGTTGGAGCATTCCCTTCATTGCCAGCTACAGAGTGTACGTATGTTCAGGTAAAAGAAGAAAATTCCTGGAGTTCCAATGGGCTAGGGGTAAACTTAGCCAGAGAAAGCTGTAGGGGTGAGAATAAGCCTATGATAGCGACAGGGCAAGAACTCACCATGGAGATTTTTCAGGAGGTTTATGGATGCTGTATTGTCATCTAGGACGTTGCCCTGACAGGGGAATCCCCGGCTTTGCAACTTCCTGGCCAGTGTGAGGGCCACCAGCTGGCTGTAACCTTTCCTGCGATGCTCTGGCAGGGTATAGCCATGGCACATGGTGGAAAACTGGTCTGTAAGAGACCAAGAGACCAGGTTTCCCTTGTCATCCCGGACACATACACTGGGGAAGCAAGAGATGAGTTTCGTGATATACCGGAGACATTGTTCATTGCCGCCCCTAGACCAAGTCCGGTTGAGTAGATCAGCATCAGCAACACTCAGGTAAGTTAGTCGTGGTGCAGAGCCCTTTCTAGAAGGAAACAACACGAGAACAAATGTGAACGCGGGGTCCTAGGACTACAACTAGCTACTTTTCTTCCTGCACTGATTCAAACTAAGAAACAATCCCTGTACTTAGCCAATACCAAAATATTATCAATGAATTGGAATCTATCTATCACTTTCCACTTATAAACATCTTTCAGGGTTTCATTTCTGATAGGAGAAAATCCTCACTATATGAAATTGAAGTCTTTCCTCCTCATTTTGTGCCCATATCTTTTTGCCTTCATATAGATTAGGGCATATATTTCATTTTTCTGTAAAATAGTTCTCAGACTTGTTCTTCTTAAGGCCTGAGTCTGTTGACACCTTCCCTGAAGCCTTGAACAAGTCTACATTGTTGGGCCCCTAATATTTTCCTTGGTTAAAAAAAAAAAAATGTATTAGGCTAGAACTGTATCCTTATGCATCCATGGCCAGGAACAAAGTATACATTGCTTAGCGTTCTAGGCACCTATAGATGCTCAAAAAATGTCAGTCTTTCTAGACATTCCCCTAAAAGGTCTGGAAAAAGGTCTAAAAGCTCATGGTATTGAGATAAAGGCAAGGATAGGAATTGTTGCAATTTCTAAGAACTGAGATAGATAACTTAGTTGAAAGCCTATGGTGCTGGTTTTGCTTCAGAATTTGCTTTCATTCTTAAAATGATCAGTATCATAAGACCATCCCCCATAACAGCTAATGTCCTTCTTGCTACAATGTTTATAAAGTACAGTTTGTGTTTTCTTTTTATTAGTGGTTCCACAATTAGCTAACATTCTAGACATACTGTGGGCTCTGGCACTGGGACAATAATCTAACCACTAAGGAGGGTAAAAAAAAAAAAGAAAAAATAAACACCAGAAATCATGGTCTTGATAGAATTTCTTATTTTTAAAAATGAACAAAGGCTGAAAACCCTGAGGCAACGAAGCCTCAGGCAGAAATGTCACTGTAGGGGCATCTAGGTGGCTGAGTGGGTTAAGCCTCTGCCTTCAGCTCAGGTCATGATCTCAGGGTCCTGGGATCAAGCACCTGATCAGGCTCTCTGCTCAGCAGGGAGCCTGCTTTCCCCTCTCTGCCTCCCTCTCTGCCTACTTGTGATCTCTCTCTCGGTCAAATAAATAAATAAAATCTTCAAAAAAAAAAAAAGAAAGAAAGAAAGAAAGAAAAAGGAATGTCACTGCAAATAAAAACATTGTTAAGGCAAATGTTTCAGGATAGTTAGTGACTATGACCTTATATCTGAAGGGCAGGGTAACCAAAATAACGGGTATACAAATTTGGGTACTGACTTAGGTGTTAAAGACAATATCTTCCTATGCAGAAGGGAGCAATTTACAGCAAGATCTGATTTTAAAAGATCTGACTGGGGCTAGAGAAGAATTTTAAATAACATCTCAGAGATGTGACAGTAAGATGGGGAAACACAGGGGCACCTAGGTGGCTCAATGGGTTAAAGCCTCTGCCTTCGGCTCACGTCATGATCCCAGTGTCCTGGGATCGAGCCCCACATCGGGCTCTCTACTCAGCAGGGAACCTGCTTCCTCCTCTCTCTCTCTGCCTGCCTCTCTGCCTACTTGTGATCTCTATCTGTTAAATAAATAAATAAAATCTTAAAAAAAAAATGGGGAAACACATAGCCTGGTTTATTCAACAAAAAGTAATGGAAGAAATAAAAAATATGAAAGGGGAACCTAATATGTAAGAGAGATAATAACCAATTACAATGTATGAACTTTATTTACGTGCTTATTCAAAATAAACTGCTAAAATATTATGCTAATTTGGGAAATGTAACTACTAACTGTTTTAAGGAAATACTGTTAACAAAATCTTAAAACAGCACAGAATTGATGCAGCAAGCTTGAGGCCTCTATCTTTAGGGAAGCCTGCTTGCCACCTTGGCCCTTGGATGGCAGCTGGCAGTTTGGATTTCTGCAGGGGTCCTGCTGTTCCCAGAACTGACAGGAGTTGGCACTTACCGTGCCTACCTGTTTGTGCAATCAGTGTGGTTTATGCGGAACACCTGCTCTCCCTCTGGGAGTCCAGAAAATTGTTATGTGCTAGGCAAAGTATGCCTCCAGTAAAAAAAAAAAAAAAATCCTACATGCGTTGTCACAAGTTATTGCTAGGGAAATTAAGCATGTCCTGTATGACTTCATTGGGGAGGGTTCTGGGAAGCTTGTGCCTGGTTTTCTCTGGATTTTGCCAATGCACATTTTTCCTCTGCTGATTTTGCTTTGTAGCCTGTCTCTGCTGAGTTCTGTGGGATCTTCTAGCCAATCAATGAGCTTGTGGGTGTCCTGGAAACCTCTGTACAGGAGTAATATTAGTATAGTGGTTTTTTTTTTTTTTTTTTTTTTTTTAAGAATCTTTATCTTTTAGAAATATATGTTAAGATATTTAAGAATAATAGGATAATGTCTGGGATATTTCCTTCAAAGTAGTTGGTAGATAGGGGTATGGATGAAACAAGATTAGCCATATATTGATGAGATTTTCCTTATTCTAGTCTCTCACTCAGCCTTTGTATATCCTTGAAAATTTTAATAACTGAAAAAAAAAATGAAATAAAAAGAAAGTTCAATTGCTTTATGTGACTTATAGTGCCCATTCTTCTTTAGCTTTAGTCTTGTTTTGCTCAAAAATTCCTTCAACATATTCCCTAGAAGAAAAATTAACATTCATTGAGGTAGGTACTTTTCAAATATCATGTTTTATTTGTTTACAAAATATGTGTAAGGAAGATATTATAGGTTAATCCCCCCCCCCAAAAAAAGAAATCGATCAAGGCTCAGAAAGATTAAGCAGAAAAGAAGGTAACTAGCAAATGTCAGAGCTGGGGCTCTCCCGTTAAGAAGAATGCAGGTTACACTGACAAGTCTTCTGAAGATTGGATTCTTGAGTCAGAATTAGGAATTATTTCTTAGCTCTACAATTTACTCCTATGTGTTACTTCAACTTTGTTCAAAAAGGTAATTATACAGTACTTTGTGGGGTTGTGGAAAGGCTTCAAGAGGTAATGTATTTAAAATATTCAGTGCCCCACAATAAGAGCTCTGTATAAAATCAGTCATTTACCCACATCCCTGAAACATGAAAAAACACTAAGCATTTTTTGGCTCAAAGAGAGGTTATTTTGAATTATTTGGAGGAGGAGCATACCAAGGAATGATGTTCCTGTGAAAATACAGGACTCCTGAGTTCATTTATCACTATGCACAAAGACACGGATTTGATTTTGCAAGAAATTAGGAGCAGTCAAGCACAGCAGAAAAAAAATACACACGCACACAGACCCACGGACTCATGTACACACAGACGTATCTAGATTCTGTGGCCTTACTCCAAGGTACCCAAATATCCCTTAACAATGCTAAGTGTTTCAGGTACTCCTCTTTGTACTTCTATATAGGAAGTCCCATCCCACATGCAGAAGCATGGTCTACGTACAGAGAACTGGTGTCCGGCAGAAGTGGATGAGGAAAAAATTGAACAGCCTTGAAGGAAGTTAACTTTACACCTAACTGCTTTGAGTTGGCAACAGCTTTGGAAACATCATGTAATTCACTCTGCAGCCCTGTATATGGAAAGACATAATGAAAAATGGTATTTTATCTGAAAACACAGGAAGGAAATTTGTCACAGTACTTTGTACTATGCCGCCAGTTTGCCACCTTGTATCATCCTAACCACTGTCGAGATATCTATGAATTATTGCAGCTACTCCTGGCCTGATTCTCAAACGTTGTATGGGATTTCCAGATCCCCATCCTGTTGTTTCTCACAGTCATGATCTTCCATGAACACTTCTGATGGGAATATCCCTTAAGAATGTGGAATTGCTTGGGGGACTTTCCTGACTTCTGACTTCTCAGACTAATCCTAAACTACTCAAGGTAAGAGAAATTGTATAGCTCTCAAAGTCTACAATCTACCCTACAGCTAGAAGCACAAGAGAACTCACATTTATTTGGCATGGCATTCTGACTTTAAGAGTCTTCTAGCCTCTTGCCTAGATGCCCATTACAGAAATATCAAGGTATAAATTTAGCATTGGTGAGATTTATCCTAAACTTGATTCACTTGGATCCGACTCATTTATCACAGCTATACGATGTTATCTATAAATCTTCATTCAGTACTTGTATGTAAAACACTGTGCTGGGCACTGCACCAGCATGAGACCCAAGAATGGTATGGTCTCTGATAGAGCTCGTCACATGGCATGTTAGCTTCTGTTTACTTAGAACTGACTTGCTCTGCTTCTCCAAAATCCTATCAGCTCTATCTTTTCTAGGGGTTCTGATTAATTGAATCCTCTGGAAATTGACTTTCCCACTGCCATCCATATCTAAAAGTTTGTTTCCTCCTTCCAGTAAGTTATTTCCTATTGAAGAATACATGAATACATGAATAGGAGATCATGTTGAATAGAGTCTGAAATCCGAGCATTGGCTCCTTTCTCAGGGAGTTATGTCTAGAAAAACCAAGTAGTTTCTTCAAGTTAACACTATTAGAAATTACAGAAGTTGTGTCTAGAATCCCACATTATAAACCTGAATTATATCGAAGTAATTCAAGAGACTCTGAGAAAAAAATAGTTCAAGCTAATGAAGGGTATGGATGGTAGTTCAAACAAAATTTATTTTTCTTAGATTCAAGTACTTCTTTTAAAAGTCAGACTAATATTTCTTTTAAAAAACTTTTTACAAAATATTTTATTTATTTGAGAGAGAGAGAAAGAGACAGAAAGGGAGAGCACAAGCATGCAGAGGGGCAGATGGAGAGGGAGAAGCAGACTCTCCGCTGAGCAGGGAGCCTGATGTGGGGCTTGATCCCAGGATTTAGAGATTATGACCTGAGCTGAAGGCAAACGCTTAACCAACTAAGCCACCCCGGTGACCCTTGAAAAGCTTTTAAAATCATAAGATGTAATAGAGAAAACTGCATAAAACAAATGTATAACAGAGGCAACTGGGTGGCTCAGTCAGTTAAGCGTCTACCTTCAGCTCAAGTCATGATGTCAGGGTCCTGGGATCAAGCCCTGCATCAGGCTTTCCACCTAGTGGGGAGCCTGCTTCTCCCTCTCCCTCTGTCTGCTGCTCTGCCTTCTTGTGCGCTCTCTCTCTCTGTCAAATAAATATATAAAATCTTACAAAAAAACAAATGTGTAACTTCATTATTACATATTTTAGCTACTACTAAAGCCATAAAATAGAAATTCACTAACCATCTTCTATTTACCATTCTCTTAAACACAATTCTCTCACTCTCCACTTAAAATAGCCACTATTATCATTTTTAATGACAATCACATCCTTGTTTTAAGTTTTATTATGCAAGGGTGAGTCCTTAAACACTATAGTTAAATTTTGTTCACTTTTTGTCTGGTGGATATTTTAATCTATACCTTTTCTTTACATGCTTATCCCTCCTCCATACCCTTTAAAAATTCTTTCCATTTATTTGTTAAAGAATCCAGTTTGCTGGGTAGAATCTCTATAGTTTGGATTTTGTGGATGATCTCTCCATGGTTTGTTGACCATGTCCTCCTATCCCTGACATCTATTACCATTTTAACAAATGATTTTCTTTTTGTTCAGAGAAGGAACCTTCACTAAAATTGTCCTACATTTCTTCACCTTACCTCCTTAGGAAGGGAGGTGTTGCTAATTGGATAAGACAGAACTCAGACCATTTATTGGACCACAGTTAATGGGACCACAGTACCAGCAAGCCAGATTCTGTAACTTTTAGGTTAGTGCTCATGTCAACAAGCTCTCTCACGTCCATGCAACCAATAGTGAACAAAAGAACCTGGCCCATCTGGATGGCTGTATACTTTTTCATTCCCTGTCCTCTCATGGCCAACACAAAGAGTGTGGCTTTTCCTGTGGGTGAACCCTGATTTAACCTTGTTTATGGACAGCTCTTAGATTAAAAATGACAAAGGCATCCCCGTGTAGAGTGCACCGTTGCTCTGAACACCCAGCATTGATGTAGCTCTGTTGCCTAATATTTTTAAAAGATTTTATTTATTTATTTGACAGAGAGAGAGCATAAGCAGGGGGAGTAACAGAGGGAGCGGGAGAAGCAGACTTCCCGCTGAGCAGGGAAGCTGATGTGGGGCTTGATCCCAGGACCCCAGGATCATGACCTGAGCCGAAGGCAGCAGCTTAGCTGACTGAGCCACCCAGGCATCCCTCCATTGCCTAATTTTTGTAGGCTTTCCAGGCAGCCCTACCAGTAACTCTGGGGTGCAAGAAGAAAGAGCAGCTGTTTCTATGGTAGTAGTTGGCTTTTGGAGTCATTCATGATTTGGGGATATTATGGGAAGAGCGCTTAGGTGCTTTGGTTAAAATGAATAAAGATACCGATGACTTCTTAAAAGCTATTCTGTATTCCAAGAAAATTATAGTTTAGCCTATAGAAAATTATAGCAAAGCCTATAGGCGAGAGGCCACATCAAAAGCCAAAGATGATGACTACACTGATTACATGCTAAATGAGGGGCCTTTACCACTATTTTAGGTGCTATTAACTCACATCTGTCCCCACCTAACTTCAGGGAGGATGATGTGTCAATGTAAATGATTAAGACTGACTCATGACTAACAGCTTGGCTGGTTAGGGAAAAAAAATACTGGCAATTACAAGGATGTTCTCATCCTAATGGTGGCTGCAGGTGCTTTGAGGAGAGTGGGTCCTCCGGCACCACAGACTTCCGATCATTGCCGTGATTTTTCATACCACGGAAGAGATCTACTTATTTCCACACTCGAGTAATAATGGCAAGAAAATTTTGCTAGTTCGGCTAAGTGAGTGGTAGAACCCTGTCTCACGTCTCACCAGCATAACTGGGGTAAATCTGTAAAAGTGAGAGATAGTTCAGAACTTCCACTATAACACCTTTGTGAGCATTTCCAAAGGGATGTTATAAAACACCCGAAGTCTTTAGGTAATTATATGCCTTAGTCATCCTTTGCAAGTAGACAGGAGCTTCTTCCTTGTGAGAGGGCTTCAGCTGTTTGCTGCTGAAGAAAATTACCAGACTTTGTATTTCTGACCTGGGGGACCGTGCCTTCCTGTCCAATGATCAAGGAACTCACTTTCAATGCAACAATTAAAAACAAGAACTTCATTGACTATATCATCTCCCCAGTCATCATGAGAAGTTGGAAAAGTAAGCCACTGAAGCTGAAATTGTCCATTCACAGTATTAGAAAATCTTCATGTAGTTCGGTCTAAGCCAAAAGTTCTTCCATTAGCATTGATAACCATGCAATTATCTCCTTGGATCTCAGGTATACTCTTATCTTACTAATCATGCCAGGATTTCCCATGCAAATCAGTTAATTATCTCTTTCCAGATTCAGCTGCTTCAGAAAGAAGGAAAGACTTCCCTATTGGCTTACACTGAAGTTAGAGTCATTTTAAAAGATTGGAACAGGAAATGATTAAAGGAATAAAGAAAAATATGCTGTGAAATTACAGTAACAGTGGGGGGAAAATGTCACTTGAAAGCAGCCCAATTTAAATGGTGCCTACTTACCCCAACAACCAAGCCTCTTTAGGAGTAAAACAAGTGTTCTTACAAAACTGTAGTACAAAAATTGTAACTATATAAAATGTATCTCTATGAATTTGTGCACTTAAGTATATATATTATCATATATGTGAAACAGATATCATATCTATCTGATGTATATGACAAAAATGAGAAAAAGAAGACTGCCTAGTGTCTGTGCTTGATCTCACCTTGTATTTGAAAAACTTGATCCCAGTTGATAACATCATGTTCTTCCAACAGGCGTTGGTAAGCCCTGACATCCTTGTAGAACACAGCATAGGCATTAGAATAATGGTCCAGGTTATCTGTCTCAGCCTGGAACAGAAGACATAATTATAAAAACATAAATATGTCCTCTAGGTATCTCAAATCCCTAGATAAATTAAGTACATTGACAGCTTATGCTTAGATCATTCCCACTGCCAAAATCAGCCACCTATAAATAATGGCTAGATAGTAATGTGGCTAATACACTCTGGTGAGGGAAGGAACAGATATTTTGCTTGATATACTTTTGCTTGATTATTCTTCTGGTATTTGGAAAGTTTTAAGATCCTTATTCCATATTTTTCTAGGATTTTATTTATTTATAAAAATGGAAAGAGGGTGCCTGGGTGGCTCAGTCATTAAGCGTCTGCCTTTGGCTCAGGTCATGATCCCAGAGTCCTGGGATTGAGCCCCACATCGGGCTCCCTGGTCAACAGGAAGCCTGGATCTCCCTCTCCCACACCCCGCCCCCGGCCCACTTGTTTCCCTCTCTTGGGGTGTCTCTCTCTGTCAAATAAGTAAATAAAATCTTTAGAGATTTTATTTATTTATTTATTTATTTATTTATCAGAGAGAGAGAGAGAGAGAGAGAGAACACAGGCAGGCAGAGTGGCAGCAGAGTTAGAGGGAGAAGCTGGCTCCATGCTGAGCAAGGAGCCTGATATGGGACTTGCTCCCAGGACGCTGGGATCATGACCTGAGCCAAAGGCAGCCGCTTAACCAACTGAGCCACCCAGGCGTCCCAGTAAATAAAATCTTAAAAAAAAAAATGGAAAGGGTATAACTTTTGGAGCCACCTACAAGATTTAAATAGAACTCTCAGAACTTTCCTAATGTGGTCAGGGCAACACATTTGATGACATGAGCTCTTTGTCCTTGTAAAATGGGCAGATGTCATCTTTTTTCAGTCTCCCTATGTATTTACCCACATTACCAAAGTTGTTGGTCACAGGAAAACATCAAACCAGAGGAAAAACAAGTATGCATAAGTACGTGTGCTTCATGGTTCTAGAGACTGTGAAACACTAAAGAAACACTTAATTGAACACATTTAAGCTAGCAGTTTTCCATGTCTGCAACTCCAAAGCCAGTCAAATTAGAAGCTAATGGTGAGAGGCATCTGGGTGGCTCAGCGGTTAAACCTCTGCCTTAGGCTTAGGTCATGATATCGGGGTCCTGGGATCCTGATCTGTGTTGGGCTCCCTGCTCAGCGGGGAGTCTGCTTCTCCCTCTGTCCCTCCCTCCTTGTGCTCTCTCTCACGCAAATAAATAAAATCTTTTTTAAAAACTAATGGTGAAATATGTACCTTATTAAGCTAATATATATGACTGTAATGGTTATAATATCCCCTTTACCCAATCTTTTCTTTCCAGTTGATGCCAACTCTTGGGTTTTCAGGGGTTTTTTGTTTTGTTTTGTTTTGTTTCTCTGTCCTTTCCAATCTGTACCTCTTTCTGTCGTCGGGTGATAACAGCTTTGAAGTCTGGCCACGAATCCACCACCACTTCCTTCTGAAAGGGATTCCCACGATTCATGTTCATCACTGCTCCATAAACCTGAGCCAGAGAACCCAGAGAGACAAGCCAGTCACATTACTAACTCTTTTAGTTGCACATTACTGTTTTCACTTCTTCTTGTACTATATAGTTGTGGCCATGAGAAGGGGAATTTTTTATAGGCACATATATACAACATGCACACGTACAAACTTTTCTCTTGTTATTTCATTATTGTACATGAAAACTGGTAAAAAAAAAAAAAAAAAAAAAACAAAAAGACAAAAAAAACCTAGGAAAACCTATGAAAACTCTCCCCAAACTTAGGTTTTTACTGTACAGCAATGAGAGATACAATAGGCTGACTAGATGGCACATGGGTCAATAATAAATACTTACAGAAGGAATCAGCATCTGATGTATGGATTTAGGGCTCATAATATCTTTTACAATTCCACAGATAATTTTGATGCTCAGCTGCTTTTGAAGCTTATTATGCTCTCCAAAAATAACCTGCTTAATGTAACTACTCCTTCAACCCTGAGTTACAGTTAAACATCACTGAGGGTAACTCCCCTCCCCAAAAAAGTCCCCTGCCTTTCAGATTTGATGGAGGAAGGCTCTCTAAGCATTCTCTGACCTGAGCGTCATGACTATGTCTTATTCATTGCTATGTACATGGAGTCTGACATAGTGGGTCAACTGGTTGTTGACTAAACAATACTGAGTATTAGAATTCTGACCTGTGCCCTTTCATATTTCTTTTCTCCACTTAGAATCAAAGATGCCTGCCCTATAAAACAACCTTCCTATGCCAGGGGTACTTATAGAGAAGAAGTTGTGGTGGTAACAAGGAGAGTAAGTTACAGGCTAGTGTTCTTAGCAGTACTTTCATCATAGATAGAAACTGAAAACAATCTAAGTGTCCATCAGCAATGGGAAAAAATGAATAAATTGTGGCACATTCATAGTATATATTACAAAACAGAAACTTAATGGTAATCAAAATAAGGTAGATACAAAAAGACATACTATGTGATTCAATTTACATTATATTCAGAAAAGACAAAATGACATTATGGTTTTAGAAGTCAGGATACTGGTTCCTTATGGAGAGCTGGGAAAGATAATGTTTGGAAAAGAGCACTGGGGGGCTAGGGAGAAATCGTGTCTGAAGTAGTGTTATTTCTTGATTGGAGTGCAAGTTATACAAGTATTTGCTCTATGAAAATTCATTGAGCTGCATAATTATGTTATGTGCTCCTTCTAGTATGTGTTATACTTCAGTGAAAGCCAATTTAAATTATAGGGACATTAGAAACTACATTTTACTTCTTATATCACATCATGATTCAAATCATGCACCTCAATACCTAGAACATTATTCAACTCTCTTCTCTCCTTCCCAATCTGGGACTTCACTCAAATCTTCTTATAGAATGTATCTTTACTAATTTGGTCTGGCTAATCCTAATGTATGACATGGATCACACTTAGTGAAAATCCGAGAACTAAATTAACCTGGAAGGGTCATGCTTGCTCTGTTTAATTGTTAAATTTTGGGGATACTGATCTTATACATACATAGTCATAAATTTATTAAAGTGTTTTTTCCCATAAAGAAACCATACATCGTTATTAAAAAATGGATTTAAATATGATTGCAATGTTGAGAAGGTTAAAATGAAAAAAAAATTTTCTGATATTCAGATTTTGAAAGGAAAATAATGACTTGTTTGTAAGAGTTTTGCAACCAACTGAAAAAGTTGGCATTGGTTGAAGACAATGAAACAAATTATTTTAACACCTATTTATACAAAGGTTGCGTGTTGAGAGGAGATGGGAAGTAGCTAGGGGAAGTAAGGATGCCGGAAGAATGAGCAGTGGAATTTGTGAAGGAAATTTGGAAGGATATTTAATTACTGAAATACTAAGGTGAGGTAGGAGGGGGGATGGATGAAATAGGTGATGGGGGTTAAGAAGGAGTTCACTTGTTGTAATGAGCACTGGGTCATGTATGGAAGCATTGAATCACTAAATTGTACACCTGAAACTAATACTATACTATATGTAAGCTAAATGGAATTTAAATAATAAAACACTTAAATAAAATTTAAAAAATGGAATTTAAATTAAAAAAACTTAAAAAAACAGATTATAAAATATATAGCCATAGCCTCCAAAAAAATGGAGGAAGCATGGAACAAAAAAAACAATTTTTTCTTTATCATTTTGATTCTCGAAGGGGCAGAGCATAACTGAAGAAGTATGTTGAAATTATGGTCAGAGAACCCAAGACAGACGCTATATAACAATCCAATAATTGAAGAAAGATAAAAAGATTCAAAGGTAAAGAGACTCTGTGTACAGAAAATGAGAAATCGGGAGTGCCAAGCTAAGCAGCTATTAACAAGAAGATGATATGAGGAAGGCATTGATTTGTGCCTACGTGTTTCATTTCCTTAACTCTTACTTCAAGTGGTATTATGAGAAGCATTAAAAAAATAATAATAAAACCAAAAACCAACAATGAAAAACAATAGAAAACCACAACCATGCAGTTTGGAATCTGAGAGCTTGGATTTAAATCTGAACTCTAGCACTTAGATAAAGGGAAGGGATTTAGTAATATCATCTGTAAAAGTATAATGTAATTACCTGCTTATTCAGTGTTATTAATATTATGGAGGAATTAATAGGTTTTATAAAGTTCAAATGAGACAGCATAAAAGGTATGTTAAAAAAATGATACCTACTATTCTGATCAACTCAACTAATCTGAATTTAGAGGACCTTGAAATTAAGATTTGAATAGGTGAGGGTTAATAAGTAATTATTTCATAACACTGCTAGTGACCAACCAACAACAGTTTATTGAGTAATTATATGGGCAAAGCCCCATGCCAAGCACTATGCGAAGTATCAAAAAAAAAAAAAAAAAAACAGAAAAAGAAAAAATCAACATCCTCACCTGGGTATCTGGTAGTTAAGTTGTTATAAGAGAAGCAGTAGCTATGAAATCAAAAGAACCAGGATTCAACTGATTTTTTACTTGCTTTAGCCTTTTTTGGACTCTAACTTATTCATTTCCAAAATGGGTTAATAGTCATCTTACAAAGTTGTTGGAAGGATAAAATAAATTGAAATTATTTGTATGCCAAAGTACTACCCACATACTATTTATAATGTAAGAGCCCATCATTTGTCTTGATGATTATGTGATCTTCGATGACCCTGTGAAGGTCACCAAAACCTTTTTATTTCTCTTTGGCAAAAGAGTGGGTCAAACATTCAATATGGTACATTTTGAGTCGGACTGTCCATTTGGTACCCTTTTAGCCATATGCTCCCAAATTATCACTCAGATTTTCCCTACCACACATAGTTTAAGCATGATCCATAAGTCAAGATGACTAGATTTAATCACCCCAGTATAGTGCTCTAGATAACTTTTGTTAAAGATTAGTGTAAATAAGGATTATCGAGGGTGTGTGCACAATAAACAGGTCTCTGGTCTCTGTCTTTAGAAATTATGATTCATTATATCTCTTCTGGGTTATTAGCAGCTGTCACATTTGCAATCACATGCTCTTACCACTGAGTTATACCCCCTGCCACTTATATTTGAAAATCCATATTGTAGGGCTATCTCCTTGGTCAAGAATTGCAGCCCTGAAAGACAATGTCTTTGCACTTTGAATTTTTTTTCTTCAAGTGCTTAACATATTTTATTTTATTTATTTATTTTTTTAATAAATTTTATTTTTTTAAACATATAATATATTTTTATCCCCAGGGGTACAGGTCTGTGAATCGCCAGGTTTACACATTTCACAGCACTCACCATAGCACATACCCTCCCCAATGTCCATAACTCCATCCCCCCAACCCCCCTCCCCCCATCAACCCTCAGTTTGTTTTGTGAGATTAAGAGTCACTTATGGTTTGTCTCCCTCCCAATCCCATCTTGTTTCATTTACTCTTCTCCTACCCCCTTAACCCCCCATGTTGCATCTCCTCTCCCTCATATCAGGGAGATCAAATGATAATTGTCTTTCTCCGATTGACTTACTTCGCTAAGCATGATACCCTCTAGTTCCATCCACGTTGTCGCAAATGGCAAGATTTCATTTCTTTTGATGGCTGCATAGTATTCCATTGTGTATATATACCACCTCTTCTTTATCCATTCGTCTGTTGATGGACATCTAGGTTCTTTCCATAGTTTGGCTATTGTAGACATTGCTGCTATAAACATTCAGGTGCACGTGCCCCTTAGGATCACTACGTTTTTATCTTTAGGGTAAATACCCAGCAGTGCAATTGCTGGGTCATAGGGTAGTTCTATTTTCAACATTTTGAGGAACATCCATGCTGTTTTCCAGAGTGGTTGCACCAGCTTGCATTCCCACCAACAGTGTAGGAGGGTTCCCCTTTCTCCGCATCCTCACCAGCATCTGTCATTTCCTGACTTGTTAATTTTAGCCATTCTGACTGGTGTGAGGTGGTATCTCATTGTGGTTTTGATTTGTATTTCCCTGATGCCCAGTGATATGGAGCACTTTTTCATGTGTCTGTTGGCCATCTGGATGTCTTCTTTGCAGAAATGTCTGTTCATGTCTTCTGCCCATTTCTTGATTGGATTATTTGTTCTTTGGGTGTTGAGTTTGCTAAGTTCTTTATAGATTTTGGACACTAGCCCTTTATCTGATATGTCGTTTGCAAATATCTTCTCCCATTCTGTCAGTTGTCTTTTGGTTTCGTTAACTGTTTCCTTTGCTGTGCAAAAGCTTTTGATCTTGATAAAATCCCAATAGTTCATTTTTGCCCTTGCTTCCCTTGCCTTTGGTGATGTTCCTAGGAAGATGTTGCTGCGGCTGAGGTCGAAGAGATTGCTGCCTGTGTTCTCCTCAAGGATTTTGATGGATTCCTTTCTCACATTGAGGTCCTTCATCCATTTTGAGTCTATTTTCATGTGTGGTATAAGGAAATGGTCCAATTTCATTTTTCTGCATGTGACTGTCCAATTTTCCCAACACCATTTATTGAAGAGGCTTAACATATTTTAAATCACATATTTATTTGTAATCTGTGATTAATGTCTTCTTCCACAGAAGCTCTGAGTTATCAGCAGGCCCTCATGAACTTTGGGAAGACACCAACAGAGGCTTTATGACTGACAAAGCCATTAAAATAAATAAATAAATAAAGATGTTGAAATAGTCAGAAAAATTTTATGACTCCTGGACCTCAGCTCCGTCGTGAACCTAGGTTAAGTTCTTATGAACAATGCTACTTAATCCATACTCTTCTGCCATTAAGAAAAGTTTAAAACTTGAGTTTACTAGAAATAATCTAGTCCAGCACCACCTAAATTTTCCTAGAGGTCATCTAGAGTAACTGTCAAAAAAATAATTATCACAGCCATATCTATGCTGCATGGAATCAGTCTCTAGCAGGAGACGCGTGGGAAACTGTCTGTTCAATAGGTTTAAGAGGAAAGTCCTGACATCAGAAAAACTGGGGAAACAGCCACAAGTCTGACCTTATTTCACAATAAATAAAATAAAGAAATAAAAGAGAGCTCTTAAGGGTAGAATACCTTGAGTGATTCGGGGAAGTAACTCTTCAACATTTTTTCCAGGATCAGTAATTTGGTAGAACAGTTGAGCACCAGCATCTTCTCCAGAACTCTAGCAATTCCACACCTAATGAGAAAGCAGAAGGGATGTTTTTAGGTTTTGCTTGTTAACGTTTGAATCTCCCGAGGAACATCCTTGAAGTCCTGTTTTCACTGGGTACAATTCGGAATGTCATTGCTCCCTCTGATGAGGGAAGAAGAGGGAAGATGAGAGGCACTGGGGTGGGTAAACCAGAGAGCACATGGAAGTAGAGAATGTTAATGACCTAATCTGGGAAAAAGGTGAGTATCCATGCTGGTTAAGTCTTCCTATGATACACACTCACTGTTTGCTCAACTCTTCCTTTGAGACACAAAAACAGTTGTAATTTCACATCTGTTTGTGTTTTCATTGAGTCTGTCTCAAGTCGACTGGGAGGTATAAGAAGGAAAGGGCCAGTGTCTGCTTTGTGCTCTATTGTATTCCAGCAACTACAGGGACTGGCACAAAGGAAAAGGGCATTCAAAGTGCTTGCTGAATGGTTAAGAGGAAGCTCAGAGTAAGAGTCTTAGGGTAAGCAAGGAAACTTCTTTTTACAATGTGGGGCAAAGATGGAAGATGTGAGTGGGTCAGGCTTCAGGTGCGTACGGGAAGCCACTTGCAGAGAAACACCTAGGTTGAAGACAAAGAACGAGATGGGAGCAAAGGCTGAGACTCAGTTTAGTTAGACAAAATTAAGGAACGAAAAAGGGACTTAATATAACGCATGCAATTCAGCCATTCAGAGGCAGTTATTTTTTTCTAGATTTGGGGACTTCCTATTCCCTGCTTTTTGTCCCTAAGAAAACTTTTTTTTTTCCCCCAAACATTCCAATCAGGTCTTGACTGAATTAAACAAATTTTTTTTTTCTCTATATTCGATGCAGTAGAGTTTATCCATTTACTCTCAACAAACAGACACTAGGATGGCAAAAATGTCTCAACTAGGCATGAGAACCTGGGGTTTCTGAGACTGCAGTGAATTTTTTCCTGTACAGCACATCCCCCAGGTAGAGGGCGCTACTACTTGATTTCAATATGTGGCAGCTCTGTGTGACTATAAGATACTCAAGTGTTCGATTATGATTTAAAATCCACCATGCAACTCCACCATATGGTTTACCTGAGTCTGAACTTCTACAAAGCATATTTCCTGTGACCAAGCCCTGTGGCTGCAGTTTGCTGAGTGGGACACCTGAGGTATTTGTAATTCTTTCCAGGACTCCGAAAAGATCCTAGGGGCAGCACCAGAAAATCAGCTTCCTGACCCTAGTACTCATAGTCTGGGCTGATAGGAGAAGCTTTGCAAAGATCAAGTTTCCAGGGTTCAGGCTGAGCAAAGGAAGGAGAGATGCAGGCGTCATCTTTTCACACTTGTATCTGCTTGACATTTTACTCCCTCATGCTATCTCTAAATAAAATATTAACTTCTTAGCAGATCCTCATGTTAAATACATTAATTCATTCTAATTCAATATTTGAGAAATTAAGATAAAATTATTTCATAGAAAAACTGATCATGTGTCTCTTATTACATTTGATGCCTAGAGATGTTTTTATTTCTTGATACATATCAAAGTAGCTAGCACAAACAGTAGGAATTCTAAGAACTTGTTGGTGATTTGCTTTATTGCCTGGTTTGTTCCTCAGAGTTCCTGAAACCACTTATAAGTGTAGGTAAAATAGATGATGAAAAATTAAGTTTAAATTAAAATTCAGGCAAGGGGAAAACAGAGGTATATACATAATATGGGGTCAAGAGTGAAGCCAGCAGACAAAGGATATGGACTATAGTTCTACATCAGAGTTGATCCTTTTTATTTGTGGATTCCATATTTGTGAATTCACCTACTTGCTAAGATTCACCTGGAACCCTCCAAAGCCATAGTGACGGTGTTTTTGCAGTCATTTGTGGACATATTTGAGTCTCCAAAGCCAATATTATCAGCGGATGCTGCAGAAGCTGACCTCTCTTTCCAGCTCTTATACTCTAAACAAGCCCTTTATAATATGTATTTGTGCCACATTTTTTTGCAGTGTTCACTTTCTGTTGTCAATTTCACTGTTTAAAATGGTCCCAAGGGGCACCTGGGTGGCTCAGTCATTAAGCATATGCCTTCGGCTTGGGTCGTGATCCCAGAGTCCTGAGATGGAGCCCTGCATCAGGCTCCCTGTTCTGTGGGAAGCCTGCTTTTCCCTCTCCTGCTCCCCCTGCTTGTATTCCCTCTCTCAATCTCTCTCTCTCTCTCTCTCTGTCAAACAAGTAAAGAAAATCTTTTTAAAAAAAAGTTGTCCCGGGCTGCCTGGGTGGCTCAGTGGGTTAGGCATCTACCTTCAGCTCAGGTCATGATCTCAGGGTCCTGGGATCAAGTCCCGCATCTGGCTCTCTGCTAGGCAAGGAGCCTGCTTCTTCCTCCCTCTCTCTCTCTCTCTCTCTGCTTGCCTCTCTGCCTACTTGTGATCTCTCTCTGTCAAATAAATAAAATCCTTAAAAAAAAAAAAAAGTCCCAAGCATAGCACTTAAGTGCTATCTAGTGTTCCTATGGCAAAAAGACTGTGATGGGTCTTACCGAGAAGATACGTGTGTTACACAAACTTCCTTCAATTATGGGTTATAATGCTCTTGACTGGGAGTTCAATGATAAAAAATCAACAGGTGTTAAATAATGTGTCTTTAAACAGAAATACACATACAAAAGGGTTATGTGTTGGGATTCATGGGTGGCTCTGCTGGTTAAGTAGCTGCCTTTGACTCAGCTCATGATAGCGGGGCCTGGGATCAAGACCCACATCAAGTTCCCTGCTCAGCGGGGAATCTGCTTCTCCCTCTGCGTCCATCCCTCCCCTGCGTCTGTGTATGCTCTCTCGCTCAAAGAAATTAATAAAATCTTTCAAAGTATTTTTTTTTAAAGGTTTTGTGTTGATCTTCTGATAAAAACATTGTGACCAGAAGCTTGCAGGAACCTAGTCTTACGTTTTCCCTACAGATGGTGATCCCTGTGACCTTGCTGAACAAAACCACCACCAACAATGAGAAGCAGGGGATTTGCAGCAGGTGAGAGCACATTTTGTACTGTAAGCTTCCTGGCAGCCAATGTAAGAGAAACAAACATGATTAGTTACGTGATTCAGTTTGTCCCTAAAATTATTCTCACACTCTTGGGGCACCCAGGTGGCTCTGAGGGTTGGGCGTCAGCTCTTGATTTTGGCTCAGGTCATGATTTCAGGGTCCTGGGATCCAGCCCCACGTCAGGCTCTGTGATCCGTGCGGAATCTGCTTGAGGATTTCTCTCCCCCTCTCTCTCTGCCTCTGCCCCTCCTCATGCTCTCTCACTCACTCTCATTCTCTCTCTCTAAAATAAGTAAACCTTTAAAAAAATTATTCTTATGCTCTTTATCATAGCATTTGCTTGACTTTTCACTTGTATTATCTCTAAATGAAATTCTATAACTTCTAAATAACCAAAACCCTCCTGGATCTGGCTTCAATATACCTTTCTATTCACAAATTGTGCTGGGTGACATTATTGGTGACATTAAAATCAGAGAGACATTTCTCCCATGGGTTCACAGAGGGAAGACACTTTAACTAATGAACACCAGTGGACAATGTTCTTTCAGTAAACAGTGATGAATTTCCTGAGGACCTTTCTCTTATGAAATACAAAGATAGTTTTAAGGGCACAGAGCAGAATGAAGAAATTCTCATGGATGCAGAAAATATATTTTACAGATTTTTTATTTATATGAGAAAGTCATAATGACAACCATTAATTCTGAGAGCTACAAGATCAGAGAATCATAATCTCACCAATAAATTATAAATGCCCCATAATTCGCATGTGTTCTAGAATTGGAAGGTAAAGATTTGTAATTCCTCTGGATGAACTGTTACCAACAACAGACTCACTAACTAAAATCTTTGTCAAGAAATGTAATTAATTAGAGTCATTCAAGTTTTAAGAGCCCAAGATTCTTTGGGGGCACTGAAGTGTTCATCAGCACACAACAAGCACTTAAAATACGTTATCAACATTAATCAATGAAAGCATAACACTGGCCTGAAAGACCTTTCTTATAAATAAATAAAATATAAGGTCTTTTGCTTTTTAAGGTAACATAGCACTTAGAGTACAATGCGGGATATCTGCTAATGAGACAGACAATTTTTTTAAAGCTCTTGTGATCTGATGCTTGTAATTATTTTTCAGATGATAGGCTATCTGTTCAGAGATGCCTCTCTTATCTGTTTCTCTAGTTGTGCCCCATAAGTGCAAATGATTTTATATTTTGTAATGCTTATTTTCTTCAAATCAAAATTTGAAACAGAAAAACAAAAACAAACATCTTTCCCCATAAACCTAATTATGATTTATCCTTCCTGTATAATGCTGAAATTTATCTCTCCTCCCTATTTCTCCCATTTCTTCTTGCGATTTTAATTAATGATTTGAAATTTATTATTTTAAGGAAGGAATGCTTACCTGCTATTGAGAGTTCAGTTTCTATCAGGTCAGTGGTTCCTTCTTCATAAATGGTGAGTTTATTCTTCAAGCCTACTTCCCTAATTAGTCCTTAGTGGAAAGAGGAGGGAGAGAGAAACAAAAAAAGTGCGCACACCTGTAATTAGGAGGAGTTTATGGTGTCAGGTGGAAAGCCTCATGCATACAGCATGAGTAATTTCACCCCACCCCTTCCTTTCTCTCAGATTTAGACTTACAGTGTAAAAAGCAGTGAATACTAATCTTGATTTAAAGATGGACATTTTCTGGACCCCAAACCCACTGTCTGCTAAGATCTCATGAAAAAAATAAAAAGGAGTGAGACCCAGGTGAATGGGGTACCATAGAAAATGTCAAAGAGGTATTGCCCTCTTATATATTGTCACCTATTTTTTTAAAGATTTTATTTATTTACTTGAAAGAGAGGGCAAGACACAGGGAAAGTGCATGAGCAGGGGGCAGAGGCAGAGAAGCAGACTTCCCACTGAGCAGGGAGCCGGACTTGGGACTTGATCCCAGGACCCTGAGATCATCACCTGAGCCAACGGCAGACGCATAACAGACTGAGTCACCTAAGGGCCCCTATATTTTCATCTATTTTGAAGAAATGACTTTGCTACCCTAAACTTCCAAAGCTGACAAAGGGATAATCTCTAAAGCATATGCTTGTGGAATTGAGAGTATTTTTGATAATTTTAATTCTCTTGACCTAATCTTTTAAATGAAAAGAGTTTACTTGTTTCCTCAAATGGCTGCAATTTCAAGTGACATGTAAACAGTTGCATGGGCATCTTGGCCCACAACACAATACCTGACTTTGGGATAATAAACACTATGAATATTTCAATGGCATGTGTAGAGTGCTTCAATTTGAATGTGGTCACATGGGAGGATACTCCTGTTTATCATCTTTATGTCTCATAAAGTCAATATCAAATGATGGGGAAAGTCAGGGCATACTTTTTAAAAAAATATTTATTGTATTTATTTGTCAGAGAGACAGAGAGAGAGAGAACAAGCAGGGGGAGTAGCAGGCAGAGGGAGAAACATGTTTCTCACTGAGCGGGGAGCCTGAGGAGGGATCTCACGTCCCTAGGATCATTACCTGAGCCAAAAGCAGGCACTTAACCAACTGAGACACCCAGGTGTCCTTTACTTTTTTCTTTTATTTACTTTTTTTTTAAGACTTTTTCATTTATTTTGAGAGAGAGAGAATGGGGGGAAGGGCAGAGGGAGAGGAGTGGGAGAGAATCTCAAGCAGACACCCTGCTGAATGGGGGGCCCCAAGCTGGGATTGAACTCATGACCCTGAGATTGTAACCTGAGCTGAAATCAAGTTGGATGCTTCACAAATGTGAGTCACCAAAGTGTCCCTGGGGAATTCTGTACTTGAAGATGCTTATAAAGTAACACAATGGATAGATAGCTGGTAGCTTAACGTGACTAGAGATATTGTATTAGATGACAATTACTGGATGGGAAAGGCAGACTGTCTTTTTTGATCTGGGTATATTGATTACTTTTTCAAAAAATATTTATTTATTTGAGAGAGAGAGGGTAAGTGAGGGGAGGGGCAGTAGAAAGAATCTCGAAGCAAACTCTCTGCTGGATGCCCAGCCCTAGGTGGGGTTTAGTAGCAAACTAATATATTTAGTGCCACCAACTCTTAAGAAATGCTAGTTGGAATACAAAAAAATGGCTTAGTTACTTTATGCATGATAAAATCCAAATGGGAAATCTGAATTTTTCTATGCTCTTGCTTTCCTTCTTTCCTCTCCTTTCCTCAAAGCTGAGTGTTTGTTGACAATGAATGAAACATGAGAGGATTTAGAAGACTTGTGTTTGGCAACTAAGCCAACCTGAATGACTTACATACTAAGTTTGACAGGCACACCTGTATTTAGTTTGGGTTGAGAATGTCAGGAAATTCTATCCAACCAAATAAAGGAAGGTATATCCCTTAATTTTAGATTCCAGGTCAGGTGTCTAGTATTTAAGCAAAACCTGTTTGTTAAACATATGCCCAACTTAAAGTTGGGGAAAATGGAAGGGTTCCTAAAAAATGAGAAGTTTAAATAACTGACAGTGTACGAAGCTCTGCTACATATCTGTACAGGATACCCATTTGTCTCCCAAATCACAATTTACCTTCCTTCTCTGACACTGTGTATTTTTATTGTATGTCTTCCATCCCAAAATATGTGTGTTTTACACTTGAAAGTCTGTGACAACAGTTGTGGGGAGGAGATGTACTGTTGTCATGACTTGTGCGTGTGAGAGCTTAGGTAAGTGAAGACACTACAAAGGAGGACCGCCATCTGAATGACTGGGACTGCGTGCAGTTGAATTTTAACTGTATCTGGGTCTGTAATTAACTCTTAAATTCTTCACAAAGGGCGCACCCAAATTTAGCCTTTAAACAAAATATCGTGTACATTTTGGATCGCCTGCTATCTACCAGAAAATACCGTAGATCCTTCAAAATCAAATCACATACCTTTAAAAGCTATAAGAGGGTAATTTGACCAGTCTGTGCATGGTGAAAAATATCACTCAGCAAAAGTGGTGAATAAGAATCCCAGCTGAACGGTCACTGTTGAGTGGATGTTCCGAGAGAAACAGCAGACTTTGATCTAACTTCTCCTCCCCAATGAAAGCTGTAATAAACATCATGATTAATGATAAAAAAAAATCAGTGAGTTGGGGCTCTATTCATCATTCTAAAAATAAGAAGTTCTAAGATTCCAAGTAAGGGGTTTTATGGAGATTTTGCATACTTTCAGATGTTGAAAAGACATTTGACAAAGTACAGCATCCTTTCTTGATCAAAACTCTTCAAAGTGTAGGGATAGAGGGCACATACCTCAATATCATCAAAGCCATCTAGGAAAAACCCACAGTAAATATCATTCTTAATAAAGAAAAACCGAGACCTTTTCCGCTGAGGTGAGGAACACGGCAGGGATGTCCATTATCACCACTGCTTTTCAACATAGTACTAGAAGTCCTAGCCTCAGCAATCAGACAATGAAAAGAAATTAAAGGCATCCAAATTGGCAAAGAAGTCAAACTATCACTCTTTGCAGATGATACGATGCTTTATGTGGGAAACCCAAAAGATTCCACTCCAAATCTGCTATAACTTGTACAGGAATTCAGTAAAGTGGGATATAAAATCAATGCACAGAAATCAGTTGCATTTCTATACACCAACAACAAGATAGAAGAAAGAGAAATTTAGAAGTCAATCCCATATACAATTGCACCCAAAACCATAAGGTACCTAGGAATAAACCTAACCAAAGAGGCAAAGAATCTGCACTCAGGTAACTATAAAGTACTCATGAAAGAAATTGAGGAAGACACAAAGAAATGGAAAAATGTTCCATGCTCATGGATTGGAAGAACAAATATTGTGAAAATTTCTATGCTACCTAAAACAATCTACACATTTAATGCAATCCCTATCAAAATCCCATCCATTATTTCAAAGAAATGGAACAAATAATCCTAAAATTTGTATGGAACAAGAAAAGACCTCGAATAGCCAGGGAAATATTGAAAAAGAAAGCCAAAGTTGGTGACATCACAATTCCAGACTTCAAGCTCTATTACAAAGCTGTCATCCTCAAGACAGTATGGTCTGGCACAAAAACAGTCACATAGATCAATGGAATAGAGGCCCAGAAATAGACCCTCAACTCTATGGTCAACTGATCCTTGACAAAGCAGGAAAGAATGTCCAATGGAAAAAAGACAGTCTCGTCAATAAATGGTGTTGGGAAAATTGGACAGCCACCTGCAGAAAAATGAAACTGGACCATTTCCTTACACCACACATGAAAATGCACTCAAAATGGATGAAAGACATCAATGTGAGAAAGAAATCCATCAAAATCCTTGAGGAGAACACAGGCAGCAACCTCTTTGACCTTAGCTGCAGCAACTTCTTCCTAGAAACATCGGCAAAGGCAAGGGAAGCAAGGGCAAAAATGAACTATTGGGACTTCATCAAGAACAAAAGTTTGCACAGCAAAGGAAATAGCCAACAAAACCAAAAGACAACTGACAGAATGAGAGAAGATATTTGCAAATGACATATCAGATAAAGGGTTAGTATCCAAAACCTATAAAGAACTTATCAAACTCAACACGAAAGAACAAGTAATCCAATCAAGAAATGGGCAGAGGACATAACAGATGTTTCTGCAAAGAAGACATCCAGATGGCTAATAGACACATGAAAAAGTGTTCAACATCACTTGGCATCAGGGAAATCCAAAATCAAAACCACAATGAGATACCACCTCACACCAGCCAGAATGGCTAAAATTAACAAGTCAGGAAATGACAGATGCTGGCGAGGATACAGAGAAAGGGGAACCCTCCTATACTATTGGTGGGAATGCATCCTGGTGCAACCACTCTGGAAAATAGCATGGAAGTTCCTCCAAAAGTTGAAAATAGAACTACCCTATGACCCAGCAATCTCACTACTGCTTATTTAACCTAAAGATACAAATGTAGTGATCCGAAGGGGCACATGCACCCAAATGTTTATAGCAGCAATGTCCACAATAGCCAAACTATGGAAAGAACCTAGATGTCCATCAACAGATGAATGGATAAAGCAGAAGTGGTATATGTATACAATGGAATACTATGCAGCCATCAAAAGAAATGAAATCTTGCCATTTGCAACGGCATGGATAGAACTAGAGAGTATCGTGCTGAGTGAAATAAGTCAATCAGAGAAAGACAATTATCATATGATCTTCCTGATAGAAGAATTTGAGAGGCCATGTGGGGGGCTTGGGGGGTAGGAAAGGAAAAAATGAAACAAGATGGGATGGGGAGGGAGACAAGCCATAAGAGATTCTTAATCTCACAAAACAAACAGATTTGCTGGGGGAAGGGGGTTAGGGAGAAGGTGGTTGGGGTATGGACATTGGAGAGGGTATGTGCTATGGTGAGTGCTGTGAAGTGTGTAAACCTGCCTATTCACAGACCTGTACCACTGGGGCTAATAATACATTATATGTTAATAAAAATTAATAAATCTGGTACTTCTGTACCAATATATATGTGTGTGTGTGTATATATATATATATATATATGTATGTATGTATACCTGTATATGTATATACACACAGTCCAGTGGGTAAAAGTATGAGAGTTTCCAGACTGGACATAATATCTCTACAGAGATATTATGTGTGGGGCTCTCAGGCATCAAGAAGGTGCAAGAGAAAATTGGAACTCCCCAAGTGCATCCCAATGGGTGTGAAAAAAATCTGGTTATGGGCTGTCCAGTGATACCCTTAACAACAATGCTGTGGTTAGACAGTTGGCCTGGAGTGGAAAGTAGTATCGAGAAGGAAATGGACTGGTTTTCTATCTCCAGAATTACGTGAGGCTCTGGGTTTCCATTGATAAGCTGTTCTTGGGGAGTCACCGTGAAGAACCCTGGGCCCCACCAGTCCCTGTTGGGGGTGCCGGTTGTCTGAGCACTTGCAGATTGAGATTCCCAAGGGCATTCAGATTCCCAGTGTCCTCCTCCACGTGTAGGACGGGGTTGCAGGGCTTTGATTTTTGCCTTTGAGGACATTCTCACTTCCAGTGCCATGGGTGGCCACTTTAGAGGCATTTAGTAGCAGAGCCTTGAGGGGCCAAGTTGGTAAGCATATATAGGTTGGAACTAGGGTCTTGGACTTCTTTCTTAGTCTCTTTTCTTGTTCCTTGTTCCTTACTCTCCTTTTGGGCCTGGTTGTAAAAGATCTGGTTAGCAGCTCATAAATGCCCTTCTAGGATCCCCTCTGGTCCAACAACCAACTTTTATCGAGTATCTAGGGCTGACTGGTTCAGAGATTTGTCATTGAGAATGATCTCTGCCTCGGGAGAATTGGGGGAGATAGCCGTATTTAATGAGAGCCTCTCTCAACCTAAGAAGGCTGTTGGGTTTTCCTCTTGAATTATGGTGACAGTGGGCAACTTGGCATAATTCAGAGGCTTAATTAATCTTTGACCTTCTTAATCCCTTAAGGATGCAAGCCTGGAAGTGAGCTTGGTACCAGTTTTTCAGGGGATCATTAGGTTCCAATTGGGATACTGGGCAAGGACAGTGTGGGCTCCATTTGGGAACTGGAAGCCACCCAAGGGTTCACCCATGCCCTGGTAATGAAGTTGCTGTTTGTCTCCATATTTTTCGGTGGTGGCCAGGACCCCACATTTCTCTGCCTTGGAGAGGGTTTGATTTAATGAGAGCAATGCATCCTTCCATGTTAATTCAAACACGTGAGATTTTGGAAAGCTTCAATATATTTGTCTGGGTTGTTGGAAAATTTTCCAAGGTCCCCCTTTGTCTCAAGTCTTGCAATGAAAAGGGCTCCCATACCCTAGCCATAGCAGCAGTCCTTTCCCTCGGTCCTTTTCCAGGTACATGTTCTTGGAAGGGATAGAGCCCCCGAGCACCAGTACAAGTTCCAGGTAGAGGGAACTGAACTAAGACCCCAACAAACAACTTGAGGCCATGGGGAAGGAGAGTCTAGGGGTGGATGATTCTCTGCGAGAGTGCCATTTGCCTATCTACCTTTGGTGTGGGTGTGGTAGTCCTTTGTCCCCCTCCCCGCCCTTCCCCAAGTGGCCAGCCACAGGAAAGAGCAGCCAGGAAGCTGGAATCAATCCTACACTGCTGGCACAGGCCCTTATTTTCCTTTAAGGCCCAGAAACATTCTACATAGGGTACTTCTCTCCACTTTCCCTCATATTTGCAAAACAAGTCTAATTTTAAAATAGTATTATAATTGACACTTCCCTCAGGTGGCTATGTCTCCTCCAATTTATATTGTGGCCATGTCTTGGAACAAAAGAAAGTAAGTTGTCCTTTCTTCAAGGTTTGTGGGTCAAAATGTTTCCAGATATTCAGGATGCATCTTAAAGGAATACTGGTGTTGGTCAGGGAATTGCAGTAGCCCATCTATAGGAAGAGAAGAAAAGGCATCCCTTAAGTCAGTTTTTTATAATAGATCAGGAAGACCTTTCCTGATCTGATGGCCTGGGCTGTTGATGTGACTGACAACCAAGGCCCCTCAATTCTGCAAGGTGCTGGGAGTAGTTGTGCTTACCCAGGCTTGGCCCTACCTCTAGAAACTGACCCTTGGTTCCCTAATCTTTTTCTTTTTTGTCCCCTCGTTTCCTACCCATGGGACTTGAGGGGTACCAATTATAACTTATTAAATCTCCCTGAGTAGTTGATGGCCTTTTGGCTTGTTGAAAGTTGGCATGATGGAATAACAAAATTGTCCCATCTGGCATAGCCACAAGAGGAGACTAGTAAAGTCCACCTTTTGGAGGGATATGATGGGGAACTTGGGGAGACAGAAGCTGCCTGGGTAGACATTAGTTTACCAGGCCTGTTTTGCCATTCCTTCCTGTAGGTGGTGAAACCAATTTGGGGGGAGGTCTACCTTAAAGTATAGATAGGGGAATAACAATTTGTCAGGTGTAGTAAAATGGCACCTGCCACCATGTGTGAGTACTCCTTCAGGTAGGTAATACAGACCTAGGCTTGTGGGGATTGGATCCTATCCATCATTTATGCAGAAAGAGCACCCACATTTCTTCTCCATCTATGCACAGAGGAGATGGTGCCAGTGATCTAATATAGGGATTAAAGCGGTGCAGGTGGGGGGTGCTTCCTGATGCACAGCATGGGCCAGGCCCCTGAGGAAGCCTTGGTTGCCAGCCCTTCTGGTCAGTATAGTAATACACCCTTCCATCTGACCCGGTACCCGGGTAAGGAGTTGAGTCAGAGATGACACCACAGGGCAGATGGCTGAGGAGGAAGGCTGTTCCTCATCATGACAGGGAACTGTGTGTGTGATCCCTTGGAGGTTGCCTGAACCATCTGCAAGAGGATGTCCGAGAAAAGAGCAGTAGAGGGGTTTTTCTCTTGATGCCTGGATGGGCATGTAAAGAGCCAGGTCCCTCAGAGAGCCTTCGGGTGTCCACCAAAGGATAGTCTTGATCAGGACCCCTCAATTGCTGCTCAGTTTCCTCTAGGTCCCTCACATCCAGTGATCCAGCCTGAAGCGAGTTCTGAGTCCTAATTGAACTGATATTCCCAACATATGTTGGGCGATCCATCAGAAAGAAGCCCAGAGAGCCTGTCACCCGAGATTTGAGAATGACTGGCATGCTAATCTGCTCTTACATGACTGATGGTTGTCCACTGTTTTAACAAAATGGAGAGAGAGAGACGCTTCCTGCTACTCACAGTTAGATGTCCTTTAAGATGGTGGAGATCCTGGATGAACTCCCAAGAAAATATTTCGGGATTTCTTTTCTTTTAATGCCCAAGGTTCTCGGTCATGCCACTACGAAGAATGAAGAGGTAGACCAGACGAAGAGTGGTAACCAGCAAAGCAGAGTTTATTGAACGATAGTACAAAACACCCAAAGAGGGAGGGGACCTGAGAGTGTTGCTCGGAGTTTCTAAGTCTAGGGGTTTTTATGAGCACTTTTGCAGAACTATTTTAAGCAACCATAGTGTTCTAAGGCATGCTGATCAGGGCTTTGATCACGCATCTGTCTACCTATTAGGTTAATGCTTATGTGCTGATGGCCTTTTTGAGCTAACATATGGGGACTTATGTCTTAACTGCCCCAGCTCAAGATAGTGACAGATGATTTGTTTCATTTTAAAACATCTTGCAGAAGTCTTTTCTACAAAGGCTGCAAAACAAAATGCTAGTGCAAAATAGGATGTTTGTACTGTTTTGTCTTAGCTATCCTGTTTCCATGTTTTCTTGTTGGGGACTCTGGTCCAGACCACCTAACTGTCCAACTAATTCCTAACATTATTACAATGAGAAAAGGTTTACAGAAAGGGGTTTTTTGTTTGATTTTTCTTTTAAGGGAATAAATGTGCTTAGGTTCCTTTTAAATTAAAGTATGCTTTGATGACAGTGGAAAATATTCATCTACTCAATAATCCAACCAAAGAAATAAAATGTTCATGCTACTCCCAAAGGTAAAGACACATAGCAAATCTCGATTATGTCACAAAAGGTCCAAAGGGTTATGTAAAAGAATAAAAGCATGTGGGTATTTCTCAAGTTCCAGATGACCAGACAGAAAATACAAGTCATGAACTAAATAATAATGACTGCAAACAATTGTGTTTTTATGTGCTAGGCACTGTACACACTTTCCATATATTGCATTACAGTATCACAGTTCCTCTGCACTAATCAATAAAAGAACTCCATTCAGCCTTTGTAAATCATTAGAGAGTAGCTCAGGAAAACTACCAGAGAAACAGCAACAAAAATGTGAGTTCCTAGATTTGACAACAATTAAAAACAGTTTTTTGGACTACATTAGATGCTAATAGATCTGCAGAGGCTAATTTTAAGTGTATGTTGAAAATAAATCCCAAAGAAGCCTCAGCTTCAGCGGTATCATCATAGGTTAAGTTTTACAAACTCATAAATTTTAAATTAATACAGAACAGACTAAAAAACTCTTAAAGGACATCCAGTCTCTTATAGGCTTCTTCGATGAAAGTTAACACATTCTTCATCTGGGATGAGTTATGGAGAACATCTAAGTCTCTCAGAAGAGCTTTATGGTTTGGAATTGATGTCAACATTTCTTTCTGTGGGTATAATAGCACAATTAGTTTAAAATTTTTTGAAACTGAGATATAATTGACATACAACACCATATTAGTTTCAGGTATACCACACAATGATGTGGGTTTTGTGTATACTGCAAAATGACCACTACGGTAAGTCTAGTTAACATCTAGTACCATACATAGTTACAAATTTTCTTGTGATGTGAACTGTTAAGATTTACTCTCTTAACAACTTTGAAATATACAAGACAATGTTATTGACTACAGTCACTGTATTCTACATTACATCCCCATGACTGATTTTATAACTGCAAGTTTGTACCTTTTGACCATGTTGACCCATATAAATAGTTTTTAACCTTTTATTATGAGAAATGTCAAATGTATGTTTAGAGAGAATGGTACACTAAACCTTATATACTCATCACCCAACCTCAGTAATCATCAACTCATTCCTATTCTTTCAAATTTGTATTATTTTGTTTTACCTCTGTCTATTCCCTTTCCTTTCACTCTAAATGGATTACAGATAGGACTATTTAAGTTATTTTTGAGAAACTTGAAGACTTTCTACCACTATAAACATTTATACAATAATAGCTACTGGGAACCTGTGAAAACAGAGACCAGTATATAGTCTGCTACAAATAACACAACATTATTTCATGAAGAGTTATAGGCCATTGTTAGAAGCATAAACAAACTCAACTATTGGACTTTACTTCCAGAAATCTACCTTACAGTTACGACCACACAAATATCTAAAGATACATATACAAGCAATACTGAGCATTATTTGTAACTGCAAAAATCATTTATTTCCACCAGTTTCACGAATTATAGTATGGTACAATGTAATGTTATACAGTTATTGACAAGAATGAGAGATCCCCATGAAAGATGCTCACAAAATAAGATGTTCAAACTATTCTGTCAAGTCAGAAAAATAATGTTGCCTACAAACATAACATAGATTTCATTTGTCTTTTAAAAAAGGAAAAGGATATTATGGTTTTATATATGCAATTCACAACTGATGATACAGCTGATATGGCAAATTAGCATTTACCTGAAGTGTGGGTGCTTTGAGACTCTTCTGAGAAAGTTCTGGAAGACAGAGTATCCCACTATCTATTTGAAACATCTAAAGTAGAAAAAGAAAGCTGCAGATGATTTCAAAAGGCTGATTTCTCTCTTCTTACATTCAAAAGTTGTGTAGCTGCGAGATAAGCATTAAAAAACTTATCCAGACTCAAGATATGCATCATTAAACAATTACCTGTTTTACTTTCTCTTCCTCTTCTTCCACCTCACTTGTCAGAACTTGAATTTTGTTCTTTAGGCTCTGAATATTCCCAGTCATTGACTCTATGGTTTCTACTATTTTATCTATTTCTTCCTGAGTAAGAAAACAGAAAGTTAATGTTTTAAATTAAATGCATTATTAAATAAAGCCCAAATAGGCATTAATATACATATTTCTAAAATACCAGATATACTGAAAAATTTTTAGAAGAAACTGGTAAATTATTTTCCTTTTGCAAAACAAACTTCCGAGAAACTAATTTACCAACATACTAATTCATTACGTGGAGATTTAATTTCCAAGGAACAAGGAGATACAACCCATGTTCAAGAATATTTCCTCCATAACTCAGCAAAACTGCTACAGTCAGAGATCCTGGAAGACCCGTGTGAATACAGCAAAGCCCAAGGACTGATGGCCTAAAAATCTGCTGTGCTTTGACTATCCGTCTCTAAGCCACTACGCACCCCTGGGAACCACTCATCTTTTTATTCTCCAGTTCTGCCTTTCTAACTCATCAGATAGTTGCAGTCATACAGTATGGTTTTGCTTCTTTCACTTGTGATTTATAATATGCACTTAAGGTTCCTCCATGTCTCTTTAGGGCCCGATAGCTTATTTCTTTTTAGTGGTGAATAATATTCCATTGTCTGATATTCCACATTTATTTATCCATTCACCTAATGAAGGACATCTTGGTATTCCAACTTTTAGCAATTATGAATACAGCTGCCACAAACATCCATGTGCAATATTCAAACATCCATGTATAATATACCAATATCCATGTGCAATATACCATGGTGCATGATGGCTGTATCTTGTAGTAAGAAGAGTTTTCATTTTGTAAGACATTGCCAAACTGTATTCTAAACTGGTTGTATCATTTAGCATTTCCCACCATCTGTGAGAATTCTTGTTGCTCCACATCCTCATCTGCCTTTGTTGTTGTCCACGTTCTAGATTTTGGCCATTCTAATTCTAGGAAGTGCATATGAAGTCTCCTTTCATCTACAGTTTTCCAGTCCAATTTTTTTGGTTCTTTCCTATTGATTTGTACAGGAAACTAGATAGTTTGCTTTGCAGAATTTGTGGGTCAGGTTTAACCTGTTCCACGGTCTTGAATTTCCTGTGACTTGGTTTTTGGATTTTAGAGAGTCCTGTCCAATACCAATGTGTGTTACCACATGTATTAGTTTACTGTGCCTGCCCAAAAAACTGCCACACACTTGGTGTCTGAAATCAGAAATTTATTCTCTCACAGCTCTGGAGAGCAGATGTCCAAAGCAAGGTGTTGGCAGGATAGTGCTCCCCCTGAAATCTCTGAGGGAGAATCCTCTCTTGCCTCTTCCAGCCTCTCCCAGCCTTCCTTGTGGCTGCTTGCTCCAATTTCTGCATTTTTCACACAGCCTTTTCTTCCATGTCTCCTTCTCTTATTAAGGACACTTTTGTCTCTTTAAGGACATGAGTCTTTGTATTTAGGACCCACCCAAAATAATCCAGGATGATCTCATCTTCAGATCTTTAATTATACCTGGGAAGACTCTCTTTCCAAATAAGGGCACATTTGCACGTTCCAGGGCTAGGACTTGGGCATATCATTTTGGGGGACACCATTCAACCCACTATAGAGGGAATGAATAACAACAATGAATAAAGAAAAGTTAATATAATAAGGACTAAAAAGTTCCATTGTAGTTAAAAAAATATTTTGGTCCATTGCTTTGGTTATCTTCTTTGGGTAGTCCTACTATACTTATGCCATACCTTCTATGCTGAGCTTTTACTTTGTCAGTTTTTCTCAACTTCAAAAAAAAATGTTTCTTTTTGATTCTTAAAATTTTCTCCTTTACTATTTATTTTAAGCATTTATTTGTTACATTTGCTTTAATTCTTCTAATGCAGTCTGTATATCTGAAAAGCTTTTTCTTTTACTTATAATTTTTCCTAAATTCTGTGGCTTCAGTTTTTAGTATGTTTAATGCCGATTTATGATTTTTTCCATACCCTCTACTGTTTTTCTGAATTTCTTTCAGTTTGCTTAAGGATTAGGTTAGTGTCCATCTGTTTTATGAACACAGGCTTTTAGCCTGCTTTTGTTATCTGTGGATTGCTATTTTTTTGTCCTTATTTTTATATATTCTTATGCTAACTCCAGTTGTGAAATCCTATGGCTCTGTTCTTATGCGGAGGTCCATATAGATCAAAAACCTAAGCCCTCGCAGTTCCTATACCATCCTCTCAGTCTCAGAGACAGTGCTCACCACTGCCTTTTCTGTAGCACCATCACCAAATGAGAGAGCTCAATGAATACAACTTCTGTTATTAGTTGATACAGGTTTTTGAAGTCACTCCAAAGAACAGCTCTAGGCCTCTGAGGGAAAAGGTAGTGGTTGTAAGTAAGGCACATAACAGAAAATTGATGGATACAGACAATACCTAAAAACTCCTAGTTCAAAGATTCTGTTAGGCCAGTGAAGAACCCTTGTGCCCAAAATGCAAACAGTGCTCCACTGAGTAACTGGCCATCAAGCAAGCAAACCATAGACTGTTGTAATGCTGTGATATCAGAAATATGTATTTGGTTTTCATCCCTGGTTTCTGGCAGAGAGCTTCTAAAATCCTTGTAATCTGTTTAGTGATTGGGGTGACACAGTGACATCCTTTGCTATTCATAATAAGCCTCTTTCAACGTTACCTGAGATTTTATGCTAATGAATGATTCAGAGAGGATGAAGGCTGGTTGCCAGAGCAAGCAACCAACTGATTACAGGGTTG